CCTCGGAATATGTGAAGTCCATCAAGATGCACGAGGTTGTCCTCAATATCAGGGTGTAGCCAGCTTTCCTGGAGTAGAATAGCCCCTACATTGTTGCATTCCTTGCGGTGTATCATGCTCCTGACAGCATCGAGTTTTCCCATGAGGGAATGAATGTTACATGAAATAATAGATGGAATAGTCAAATTATCAACAGAACGCCGCCTAAGCGCCACGCGCCAGCCGGCACGTTGTTTTTTATGGTGTCCTTGACCAGATTTTTGCAAGGATTTAAAAAATCTCGCGTTAGGAAAACATTTGGCCTTGGAAGTATAACGAGTTGATTGAAAAGTGATGACCACGCGTTCCTCCACTGTAACTTTACGAAATAATATTCCGCGATAACAAGGCACGGCCAAATTTAAAGGCCTCGCGAGAAAGAATGAACAGTGACAGCTGCATTCGGCTAAAGACTGTCCACACAAGAAAGGACATCTTAAATCAAAATAAGGTATGGACCAAAAAGCGCAATGAAATGGACATTTATTGAAACGAGTGACTACCCACTGCAACAACGTCGTTCCCAGTTTTCAAGAGTTAATAAGAAACCGGAATGATAAGCATCATCAGTTTGTCACCCCAAGTGCGAGCATAGCACGTGGATAAGAGAGAAAGTGGAAATATAACCACCAAGAATTACGATAACTGAGGTTAACTACAAAAGATATTTTGATCAATTATATATGAGGTAACGAACTTGAGCTCGTTCTTCTTTTCAATTATATTTACGCCACGGTTTAATGGTTCAGAGTGAAAAACTGAAAACTGATCATGGGGACAGACATATGGTGCAATCTACCTCACCAGATTGAACAACGTGAGCGAATGTTGTGAATTCTAAGAAATAGGACTGAACAGCTAGTTTTTAATGCATCTTCTTGCGTATGTGTATGTGCTTGTGGAGAGTCACACCTCGACCATTCGCGTGCGAAGTCGAAAACGTGACCCACGAACTCTTCAAAAGTGAGACCACTACAAGAACGCAACACACAGACCTTGTGTGAATTCGCATGGACAATAAACGAAAAATGCTCACGGACTTAGCGAACATCGCCCATCCTCGGTATAAAAAACATTCGGGAGAGCTGCGAACTTATCTGAAAGACTGTAAAGCCTTACTACTCCAACAGTGGACACGCAAGGTTTTTGATACCTAACAAAATATGAACCAACCACCTTTAAGCAAGATTTCAAGGCTTTCCAGTTTACTGTTCTCAAACAGTGTCATGAACAAACCAGTTAAGAATGGGTCCTAGTGAAGAAGGCACTGCTGGGCTACTCCTCATTATCGGCAAAGCGTTTAGTGATAAACTGGATCCGTGCGACTAATGGTACACATGAAAAAGATGGAATATCCAAACGGGGGAACATTGTCTTGTCTGACACGTTTCCGTTAGCGATGTTTCTCTCTCTCTCTCTCTCTCTCTCTATCCACATCACAAACCCAATTTACAATGAACCTTTTAACTTCTAATGCTATTGGAACGTTACACGTAATTGTGATATTTCGTTGGTTGCACATATTCCCATGGCATTAGAGAAACATTGACAGTGGGCTTTTGTTGATTTTTTTTCTGTTTAGAATGAATGGCATGAATAAAGTCGGTATCATGGATGTTCGAGTACGGGCGTGACAATCCACTTAATGAAGTAATCCGACCGAGCAAGAGAAAATATTGATAAACAAATATAAATGAGTAAGCGACCGGGTTAGGCCAAATGCATCTGGCGATAACTGGTTAGATCTTAATTCAGGGTGCAGAAGCCGTATTTTGTATCCGATTATTGTGAACAACAGTGATAGTAAGTTTACGGGACAGATGCACAGATTCATTGATACAAAGGACCACCTACCGAGAATTTTCCACTGAACAAGAAAAAGTAATCGGCTCCAGAGTGACTCTGGCCTGTAGATCCAACGGTAGATTGCCCTCTCCTACGGAGTCGATAGGGGAAAATGGTAACGTCAAATGGGACAGCTCTACCACCGGAGAACCTTTGGATAGAACCTCTGATAAAACATGTGCATGGGATTTACGACGTCTGGAAAGGTTACGCTTAGATTTAGTCCGAGCACGAGGTCGTCGTTCTTCAGGACTGGCATGTCTGGAGGCATTGCCTGAATCAAGCGGTATACACATGTTGTAGCCTAGGTGGGACAGGTTGGCCGGTGAAAGCTCGACGGCCAACTCTCGATCCAGCGGAGTAGAGCTTCCGTTAAGACAGGCGAAATCTACAGACGCGGAATTCGTTGGAATGTCAAGAGGATTTGGGGCAGATTGTTTGGTGTCTTCAGGGGAAGACGAGGAGGAAGATAAACTGTTAGCTGGCCGCAAACTTTCCGTTTGAGGTGTGATAGGTTCGACAGCGGTGGTCTCATTAACAGCTGGAGACAACAACGGGGCACGAAACTGTGGGCCTAACTTCAATTTAATTGGGGTTACCTTCAGAGGTAACTCTGACTGTCGTAACTGCTCTTCGCGAGTAGATTCGCTGAGTTGGCGATCCGAAACGATGGTGTCACTGGCTTCTGTAAGAGGTAAATCTTCTGCAATTTCTGAATTCAATGTTAGCATGGGTGATTGCAGCCGATTCGAACGTGATTCTGAAATGGTATCAGATCCTGATTCAATGATGCCACACGATGTGGGTGAACCAATTCTATCAGACGATTGAGTGATGCTTGTCGAGGGATGACTTGTTGTGGGCAATAATGGAGAACGATTGGGAATGGAATCACGTGACTCGTGTAAATAAGGTGCTGTTTCGGAATGGTCTACAGTTACTCCGACAGGAAGTGAAGACAAAGGTGATCCCGACGTGGTCCGCTCGGTTGCAGTAACATCCATATTCACATTATATGTATCACCATTAGGACTTGCTGAAGCCTCTAAGAGCGGCGCTGAAGGTTCTTCCTCACAAAAATTATCAGGTCTCTCCGAATCATTATACGCCTCTGTAGATGGTGACTGTGCAACCAAAGTGGTTGACTCCGCCAATTCCAAACTGGCATCTGTTTCTTCTGGAGTTTCGTGACTAGCGGCCTCAGTCAATTGTGATGATGATAGAGGTGAGTTGGCGGAGGCATGTTCCAATTCACACATAGCCGGGGTCAAAGGTTCTTCGTCATCTGCTGACGGATACCGGCCAGTGCTCTCCCCTTCCTGGGTGGAAGCAGTTTGACCAGGGCCCGACAAGGATGACATTGTGCCCGGGGATGTACCGTATTGCTCTCCAGATTTCATCGACGGAGTTTCGGCCACTTCTTCCAATTCAGCTATTATATCTGGCATTGGTTCATCCGAGTCTGATGCACACATGGCTACGGTTGAAGGGGTGGTCGCGCCGCTATCTGATTCACGATTAGCCCGCTCTGATCGACTTTCAAGCATGTCGGAAGAATAATACTCGTCAGTTGTCTCCATCTCCGAATCTCGCACGATGATATCGTCCGATCCGGTTTGCGTCAAACCGCGTCGATCTGTTATCCGGAATCAGAAAAAAAGTAGAATTGAGTTCGATTAAGTGTGCGGAGGAGAATTCGCAAAAAAGTGAACCGCTTGACAACTTGAGAACCTTAACGGAGAAATTCACTCTGGGGGTATCATTTAATCTGCACCAGGAAATAGAGTACCATAGGGCCACGGTCTACAACTAAGCCAATTACCCGTTTCCCCTTGAAGATTCTTGTAGCAATGAATATCCCGGTCTAAAAGTAGCATTCATTTTGCATAGCGATTAAACACTGTAAATGTTCAAGGTACATATTCATCAACTATTTTTGAATGCAAAAACAACACACGGACGGTGACTATTTGATAGCTTAACGTAGTTCGAGCAAGAAAGTAAGAGTAAAGAGCACAGCTGAGGCGATGAGAAAACAGAAGCAAAAATAACACCTGAATCGAGAAAGATCAGAAAATTGATGCATTGATCTAATGAATGAAAAGATTCCCAAAGCTTACTCAGCGTATCTAATTACATGAAGCGGACATTTACAGTACAGGACGAGTCGCTATTCTGCAAATATTGGATTGCTTATTTTCTGAAAATAATTCGTCAAAAAAACAAGTGTTTTGTCCTAAGCTGAATGTGGTTCCATAATTATCAACATCCATGTCAAGGGGAAACCTACCATTTTTATCCAGGGACGCCTTTCGGTGCTTTAAAGTACTCCGCTTGAGACCTTTTTTAAGCGCAATGCGTTTTTTACTAGCGTTAGACAAGTAACGCTGTCTAGTCGCCACAGCAGCCCTAGTAGTTGCCGTGGTCTGAACAAGGCCAGATCCATCAGCATAAGGTCGAATCCAGCCCAATGGACGTGTCCGGCCGTTTTGCGTCCGACGCTTGTTCTCACGACACGGTGTTTGAATGGCAGATGAGGCTTCGGCTAACAAGGCACACAAACGATTCATACTGGCCGTTCCTCCAGTAGCGGAGGATTTAGGTCCACCAGGAGCACCACCAACAGTAGCGCTGCTGCCAGCTCCAGCACCCGTCCCAGATCCTCCGGGACCAGACGGACAGGTCCAAGTGGAATCGGGAACAGTGTATACTGTGTCCAATTCCGGCCACAGCTGGATGAACTGTCGCATTAGTGAATCCGTTTCATTGTCACCCTTGGACGATGACGACACAGGTTTCTTTGCGGAAGAAAGCGGAGTGGGAACGGTCTTCGGATATATAAAGTCCTGAACAGTAGATAAATGCGAGTCTAATTTTCCTGATTCCAGTGCAGCAAGAAACTGTTTGAGAAAACTGGTGGTGGGGAGGGGAGGGAGACA